AAGTTATTTTTTAATAAAGCAAAAAACCACTCTAGCACTTAAATAAAATTAAAATGGTAAGATAAAACTCAACTGCATTTCTATATGCCAACAACAAACAATTAAAATATGAAAGCAATAAATAATACTAAATTATTAAATCAATGAATAACAATTTTTTTTCCATGTGGCAAAAATTAAATCTTGTCCCCTACCTCACACCATACACAAAACAATCTGAGATGGATTATCGACCTAAATATAAAAACCAGAACAAGAAAACTTCTAGAAAAAAGTGGGAGCATATATTCGCAACCTGGGACAAGTCACAAAAACACTAACCATAAAAGAATAAAATGATAACTCTGACATAAAAATTAAAATATTCTGCTAATCAAAAGGCACTTGAGAAATGTTTAGGCAAATCACCGAGTGGGGGAAATATTTAGAGTGCATACACCTGACAAAGGACCCATATCTTGTGGGGTTACAGAAGAATTTATAAAGAATTACTACAAATAAACAATAACAAAGTTGAATACACCTAAAAAAAGAGGTGAGCATATACTTCACAAAAGAAGATATAAAAATTGGCAATAACCACAGAAAAAGGTACTCATCATCATTAGTCACCAGAAAAAATGCAAATTAAAACCATAATGAGAAATCATTTCACACCCAGAAGAATGGCTAAAATAAAAAAGTTTAAAAGGCAAGAATGTGGAGAAATGAAAATTCTCACACATTGCTATTGGTGACTATAAAATGGAACAACTTTTTTGGAAAGCTGTTGGGAAGCTTTTTATAAAGTTAGCTATTCATCTACCATGTGACCCAACAATACCATTTTCATTTATCTATATGAAAACATATGTTTATAAAAAAGACTTATATATGTATATTCATAGCATATTCATGCATAATGGTAAACAACAAGAAACAATGCAAGGATCAATCAACAGGAGAATTAATGAATAAATTGTAGTATATTAATCCAATGGTAAACCACTCATCAGGAAAGAAACAACATGGATTAATTTCAAAACCATTACGTTGAGTGAAAGAAATCCAAACAGTGATACGCACACAGAAAACATACTCACTGTAGGATTACATTTATATAAAGTCCAAGAATAGCCAATCCTAATATATGATGATAAAAATCTGGACATTCTTGCCTCCGAGGCAGGAAGGAGGGCAACTAATTTGAAAGGGGCATGAGGAAACTTTCTGGGGTGATGGCAATGCTTTATATTTTGTTTTGAGTGGTGTTATACCTACGTAAATAATCAAAGTTTATTAAGCTACATACTTAAGATCTGTGTATTTGATTCTTCAATTGTGAAAAAAAGATGCTTCACTAGGGAATATTTAAAAACAAGTAACATATAACTATTCAGTAAAAAGAAGATAACTGGAATGTCAATAGACCTACCTAATATATATTTCAAAGATTTTTTTTCAAGTATTTAAGTATAAGTAAGTAGAAAAATTCAGCCTTGTGGGTTAATATACTGGAGAGAAACAAAGAGAAAAGAGTAACATATAGCCATTTCAGTCACTCTGAATTTAAAACAGACTGTTTCACAATCTAGAGGATTTTAAGACGTGAAATAACTGAAAGAAACAAAGGTGAAAAAGATCAAACACAGGATGCAGAACTAACAGCTGTGACTTAGTTAATACATATGCTGAATAAAAACAAACTCAGCAAAGCACTGGGAAGCCAGCAGCTTCCAAGTGATTAACTAAGCAGAAACACATGCAATGTGTTATCAGCCCTATCTCATATTGAAAGCAAGGACTCTTTGGTTACAATGGATGCTCTTCTTTCACAGGTAGAGTTACAAGAAAATAAACCAGATAAAGGTATACAAGAGGCAGAGGAAAAGGAACCTAAATTCGCTACATCTAAGCAGTATCTATTTTTAGTGAATGAGATGAAAGTTCTGCCTTTACCTCGCCTACTCAATATCATTCTTTCCACAATAAAAGACTGAACACATCAGCTAATGGTCAAAGAATTGTAAAATCATGAATAAGGGTCACATTTATATTTTTATTTTCAAGGTTCAACACAAGTTCTAAAAGTGAAATTATCATTTCAACCATATTATTAATTTTTAATAAATTTTTAAAAAGGTCTTGAATACCCATAAATCAATCTAACTTCACACATTTTGCATTTCCAGATAGAAAGCCAGAATTAGGCTGGGTGCAGTGGCTCACGCCTATAATCCCAACACTTTGAGAGGCTGAGGTGGGTGGATTACGAGGTCAGGAAATTGAGACCATCCTGACTAACACGGTGAAACCCTGTCTCTACTAAAAATACAAAAAAAATTAGTCGGGCATGGTGGTGGGTGCCTGTAGTGCCAGCTATTTGAGAGGCTGAGGCAGGAATATGGTGTGAACCCGGGAGGCAGAGTTTGTAGTGAGCCGAGATCACGCCACTGCACTCCAGCCTGGGTGACAGAGCAAGACTCTGCCTCAGAAAAAAAAAAAAAAAAAAAAAAGGCAGAATTAACAAATATGTTAGAATATTAAACCTGTGATTAAAATATAGGCTTTTATATAAGCTCACCAATAATTATCTTTTCTTTGGAACAGTTGCTCTCAACCATTTTCCATCCCTGACACACCTGTGATTTGTGAGAACACAGCAGGAGTCTCCTGTTCTATCCAACCATCCATCCTCCATGCACATCCTCTAGTCTCCAAATTCTTTCCTGAAACCTCATGTCCTACCTGAATACTCTCTCATAAGTATTTCCATGTGAATATTCTACTCCTTCCTTTCTACAATGAATGAGGAGGCCCTGAAGGTCATAACTCATATGGAGAAATAAGTCATGCACCAATGTCTCCAGAGTGGAAGAAACAGTAGCCTAATTGAGGTTATATTCTTTCTGCAATTATATATAGAGAAAGAAAATACATAGATATATAGCTGTTATTGTTGTATTATATAAATACAGGCTGCATTGGTTCTAATTTAAGTACCATCATCCCGAGTTACTTAACTTTCTCACTTATTTGTTTTTCTCCTTAAAGCATTGTTATAACATTTGAGAAAGGTAGAGTCAGTTAATAAGACACGCATTTAAGTATTGACAGCACCAATGAATTGGGTCAAGATGGAATTTCTGGCTTGAATTCTACCTCGAGATTTCTTCAAAGATTACCAGGTGAACCTAAACTCAATTAAGATATGTAGAGAATGATTTATGAAATAATGCCTCAGTTATTCAGATAATGGATCTATAGAAAAGAATCTGTTTTTCATTCATTGAATGACCAAGTGCATTTACATTAGAGAATTTACATTGGTATAAAAACAAATATATTTAGTAATGAATTTTATTAACATATATAGGACAATGTCTTACCTAAATAGCTTGAAAATGTTAGAAATGCACTAGAAACACAATAACCCCAGAAAAATCTTCATATAAGAGAACCAATGCCAACAAACATGACAGATAGCATCTAAATCTGGGTTTAGTGAGGTTTATCTTGAAGCAAATAGACCCGATCAAATTTCCTTGAAAAACAGGACTTTTTGTAAAGAGATGAAGGTGTCACTATGTTACCCAGACTGGTATAGAACTCCTGGGCTCAAGGGATTCTCTGCCTTAGCTTCCCGAGTAGCTAGGAACACAAGCGTGTGCCACTGTGCCTAGTAGAAGAGGACATTTTTGAAAACATTCTTCTCCTCCACATATTGAGGCACTGTGTCAAATGTTACCTGTGCCTAAATGCCCCGGAAACTGCATATTCCATACTCCTAAAGATGTGTCAAATTATACAAACTCATGAGGATTTTTTTAACCTCTGAGCAGGACTGGAAGAGGCAAATATACTAAAGTAAAAAAAAAAAAAAAAAAGAAACTCCAAATCAGTTGGACGATGTAGCCCCTTTGGAGTGCCAGTGACCTTATCTATAACACTGAACCACAAATTGCACTTGAATTGATGAAGGATATAGGAAACAATTTATATTAAAGTGTTCTATAAACTGCAATGGATATCCAAAATTTAAGTGCCATTTTATTAATGAGGATGAAGATTATAATAAAAATGATCTAAAATAACTTATGTTAAAGAAGGAAAAATATTAAACCAATCATTTTCATTTAGACCTAAATAGTCTTAAAAAACATATTTGCCCTATCACTTGGCTCAAAGGATTTATTCATACTCTATATCTAAGTAGATGATGAATGGTATTGATTGAATCCAAAGTCCCCCTGTCTTGGATTTTATGAGGCCCATTCACAATGAGCCAGGTTGAGAACACCACCAATTTCATGTTCTGGGTCCATCTGTTGGCAAAAATATAATGCAAACAGCTTTATAAGTGCTATTTTCAATGAAATATCACAGAACAGCTTGTCCCAATGATATTTCTAAAGCTTGCCTGCAAACCGCCTACTAGAAAATCCAACTGAAAGAGAAGGGAGAAAAGAGAGAAATCCATACAGGAAAGTGACAGGAATGGAAAAAAGAACAAAGGATAAAGAGAGACTAGCTACCGGAGGAAAACAAAGAGCAATGTTAAACGCAGACAATATTCACTGAAACTATAAAGATAGAGAAGATAGAGAAATACAAAAATCACCGGAGTCGGAATACAGAGAAATAATCACAAACCATGCAGCATTGTCCAGAAGAATGAAGACAAAAAGATCAGGAAACACCAGAAAATATGGAACAGCTCAATAATTGGAGCATAATTATTAAAATGTTGTGAGAGAAAAATGATGTAAAATAGCTATTTTTCTAAGTCTCACTACTTCATGCAATAGGCACAATTCATTTTCCCAAAAACTAATGCAGATTTCAGTGTTTATCACCAACTTCAAAGGAAGCGAACATCCTCTTCTAACTCCCTTCTTTTAATTTAGAAGTCCATTGACATACCACATAAAATAGTCCAGGCTTGCAATATAAGTGATGTACATGCATTGATTCAAATCAAAACACATTATAGGGAAAATAACATCATTCTGGGCACTTACCTGGGGTCGAATGACTTTTACAATATTTTTGAGGGCAGTATCAGGGGATGGAGGTGAACAATCAGGTGTTGGGCCTGTTGAGCTGTTTCTATGGTTACTAGTTCCTGGAGTAGTAATTGCTACCTCAGAGGCATTATCTGCGAATAAAAATAGAACTGCCATGAACCTAATCACTCAGTTTACCTTTTAAGACTTGAAATTAATTTTCTGAACATAAATTGAGATTTCAACTTTCAAAACTGGTATCAATTACAAGATCATAAATGAGGAATATGCTCAGTGGTATATTTTAAAGATAATATTTATTGAATGCTTTGTTTCCTTCTAAAATGGTAACTATCATCCTCTCGAATGTTGTTCTGAGACAAGAGTATTATTATTCAATTCATAATGATAGATTATCCAGCATAGCTCTTAAGACTGCTACTACTATATGAATAACTAAAACCTTACCTTAACTAAAAAGAATATAATTTTATGATATGATTGGGCTAAAGCTTTCCCAATAATCTTGTAAATGAGTATTAATAGTTATTAAAGTCAGAGTTTTATGTCTCCTTGATGCATAAAACCCAAAGTCAAGCCTCCTCAAATGACTTTTCCTAGAAATCCCACAAACTATAGAAAAGCATCCTAGCGAATGAAGCTTGATGAAAAACCGAAATTTGTGCAAAATGATTTTATGATGTACATAAATATAAAATTATCACCCCTTGATAAGTATAGCATCCTATGTGGTCAAAGCTAAACGAATAAAATTTCAGAATCTAAATTAATCTTCTCTTACGTTCATTATTTAGGAGGGAGGGAATAAAGGAAAGATGACTTGAAAATCAACAACATGTATAACATTTTCTTCTTAAATTCATATTAAAGCAAAATAACATCAAAGATACCATTTTAGAATGTTTAAAATACTTGGGAAAGGATGAAAATTATTCTATAAATAACTTCTGGTAGCACCTAGAGAAGTTATTTTATTTTAACAACAATTTGGCAAACTTCAATAGCTTTTTATGAAAACTGCTGCAAGCTCAAATCTGCAAAAAAGAAAAAAAAAGGTTTACTTCTCTGTTGTTTTTAATTAGTTCACAATAATTTTCTTTCCTAGACAGTTAGCTGAACTGATTGCAAGAGACTGAGACTGAATTTTTTATAGACCAGGAAGTTTCTCTGTTCCTGATCGCTGTCTACAATCCCCAGTGAAGTACAGGAATTTATCAAGGCATCTTTTCCCCATAAAACACAAAGGGATGAATTATCATACAACTCTACCTACATATAAAAATATAATTCACTGAGGAAAGGCCCATAAAACAAAAAATTCAAGTATGACATATAGAATTACTTGGATGACTCATAAAATAAATCTTAAAAGTGTCCAGAGCACACTCTTCTAAGATTTAATAGAAAAGGTGGGATTTGAATTGGCATCACAGAAGAGATGGGGTGGTCTTCTGAGTAGAATAGAAAAGTATGAGTCAATATTGAAACACACAAAACATTAGTCAGCAAGATGCTCTGATTCTCTCCAATCTATCCCTTCCTTCTTTCATTCATCTAAAAACCACATATGTAAAAACACTTATTTGGGGCAACTATGAGTCAAACATTATGTTATATTCTAAAGATTAGGAAGAATCTGTGGCCAGGGACTGGAGGGAGGTAGGGATGAATAGGCTAAGCACTGAGGATTTTCAGGGCAGTAAAACTATTCTATTTAATGGTATAATAGTGGGTATACATCATCATTATATATTTGTCCAACTCATGGAATACATAAATCAAGAATTAACCTATATAAACTATAAACTTTGGGTGATAATGATGTGTCCATGTAGGTTCATCAATTATAACAAAGGTATCACTTTTGTGCAGAATGTTGATAGCAGAGGAAGCTTTGTGTATGGGAATATATGAACTTTGTAATTTCTGCTCAATTTTTCTGTAAATCTAAGAAGTTCTAAAAATAAAATCTCTGAATTTTTTTCAAAAGAATCCCTGCCCTTGAGAAGTATACTGTTGGGTTTTTTTCCTTTTATTTTTTGAGACGGGGTCTCACTACCATTACCCAGGCTGGACTGCAGTAGCATGAACACAGCTCACTACAGCCTCAACTTCCCAGGCTCAAATAATCGTCCCACCTCAGCCTCCTGAGTAGCTGGGACTACAGGTGCACATTACTACAACTGGCTAATTTTTTGCATTTTTAGCAGGAGTGGGGTTTCGCCATATTGCCCAGTCTGGTCTTGAACTCCTGAGTTCTAGTGATCCACCCACCTCAACCTCCTAGAGTGCTGGGATTATAGCCATGAACCACTGCAACCAGCCCAGAATTGTACTCTTAAATGTGGCATCAGACATGTAAACAAATTAAAATGCAATATAACTTGAGAATTTATAACAGATAAAGGAAGCATGATGAAAAAAAAAAACCAGGGTGGGGTGGGGGAGCAATCAAACTATGGCTTGGACAGAAGATAGCTGTGAAAGGCTTCAGTTTTCAGGCAAGAAAGCTGGGGCAAAACATAAGATATTAGGGCATGAAGGTAGGAAGAGCACAGCTGAAGCTGTTATTTCATATTACAAAAAAACTAAAGATAAGTTTGAATGAGTTAAAGGAAGTTTTATTAGAATATAAGCATGTTTAATTCTGTAGGCAGTGAGAAATACTGAAGACTGAGCAGGGAGTGACATCGTAATAGTAATAGATAATTTTTATTGAGCATTTACTATGTGCAGACAGCCATGTTAAATTCTTTTACTTATTGAATCTCATTTAATACCCAAATTAACTTACAAAATACGTTCTACTATCACCATCCCTATTTTACAGAGAAATTCATCTCAAAGATATATCGTCAGTTACTGGCAGAAAAGGATTCAAATTTCAGATTGATGCCATGTTACCCTTCGGCTGGTTAGCATGTCATAGTAGGTATGCAAAAGATATGCATAGGTATGATTGGGTTCATAGAAACACAGCCTGAATTAGACTGGCATAGTTAAGGTAAAAGCACACTCTACTTCAAAATATAGTTGAACCAACTTCCAGAAACTTAAAAAGTAGAACATAAACACTATGAAACATAAACAATAAAAACAAAAAAAATGTCAACCATAAAAACATCTTTAGGGTATGCCTTTGAGTACTATATAGTATAATATTTAATATTTGGAAGCAGGAAGATATGTTAAGACTAGAGACCCAAGCTAGAGGTCATGATGTTAGCATTTTGGAGTTGATGATAAGTGATTAGATTCTGGACATGTGTTGAAATGTCCAGAATTGTTGAAATAGACCAAGAATTTTTTTGATGGCTCCTGAATAGACAAAGCAACCTTGAACAAAAAGAACAAAACTGAGTATATTATACTACCTGACTTCAAAATATACTACAAAGCTATAATAATCAAAACAAATTGATGCTGGCATAGAAACAGACATATCAACCAATGGAAAAGAACAGAAATCCCAGAAATAAATACACATATTTCCGGTTAATTTATTTCAAAGGTGCCAACAACACACAATGGGGAAAGGGCAGCCTCTTCAATAAATGGCATTGGGACACTGGACATTCACATGCAGAAGAATAAAATTAGACCTTCATCTCACACTATATACAAAAACTAACTCAAAATGGATTAAAGCTGGGTGCAATGGTACATGCCTGTACTTCCAGCTACTTGAGAAACAGGCAGGAAGTTTGCTTGAGCCCAGGAGTTTAATTAAGGCCAGCCTGGGAAACATAGGGAGACCCCTCTCTTAAAAATTTTTTTCTTAATTAATTAAAGACTTAAGTGTAAAATTGAAGTGGCAAACCTATTAGAAGAAAACACAGAGAAAAACCTCCACAACATTGGTTTGGGCAATGATTTTTGGCTATGACCTCAAAAGCACAGGCAAGAGCAAAAATAGACAAATGGAATTATGTCAAACTAAAAAGCTCTGCACAGCGAAGGAATCAATGAACAGAGTGAAGAAACAACTTATGAAATAGGAGAAAATATTTGTAAACCATACCTCTGATAATGAGTTAACATCCGAAATATATGGAACCCAAACAACTCATAGTGAGAAAACAATAACCTGATTTAAAAATGGGCAAAGGATCTGAATAGACATTTCTCAAAAGAGGACATACAAATGGCCAACAGGTATATGAAAAAATCCCTAACAACACTAATCATCAGAGAAATGCACATCAGAACTACAATGAGATATCATCTCATCCCAGTGAAAATGGCTTTTATAAAAAAAGACAGGCAATAACAGATGCTGGCAAGGGTGTGGAGAAAGGGGAACCTTTGTACACTGTTAATGGGAAGGTAAATTAGTAGAGCCATTAGAGACAATAGTATGGAGTTCCTCAAAAACGAAATATGGAATTACTACATAATCCAGCAATCCCACTGCTGGGTATATATCCAAAGGAAGTGAATCATTATGTAGAAGAGATATCTCCACTCCCATGTTATTGAAGCATTATTCAGTAGCCAAGACAAGGAATTAACTTGTGTCCATTAACAGATGAATGGATAAATGGAAAGAAAATGTAATATATACATACAGTGGAATACTATGCTGCCTTAAAAAGGAGGAAATTCTGTTATCAGTATAGATGAACCTGGAGGACCTTGTAAGTGAAATAAGCTAGGCACAGAAAGACAAATGCCACATGATCTCACTTATATATGAAATATAAACAAAGTCAAACTCGTACAAGCAGAGAATAGAATGGTGGTTACCAGGCACTGGGGAGATGTTGGTCAAAGGACACGAAATATCAATTAGAAGGAATAAGTTCAAGAGGTTTATCATACAATATGGTGACTATAGTTAATAACAATGCACTGTATTCTTTGAAACAGTAGATCTTAAGTGTTCTCACCAGAAAAAAAAAAAATGCTAAGTATGTGAGGTAATGCATATGCTAATCAGTTCAATTTAGCTATTCCACAATGTATACACATTTTAAAACATCTTGTACACAATAAGTACATATAATTTTTATTTGTCTATTTAAAAATAATTAAATTTTTAAAAATTATTGATTGATGTGCTTGATATAGGGAGAGAAAGAGAGAAATCAAGAACGACTCTAAGGCTTCTGGTCTGAGGAACTAAAAGGAT